CCTAAATATCTTAATTTTTTAAAAATATAAATCTTTCATAAATCTGTATTTTGTGATGTTAAATGTATCAATGATAGTAAGTATGTTTTTGTCGATATGTTCGTAACATGATTGGACAGCTTACTTTTGCTATGGTTACCATAGGTTTGCAAGCAGCAGGTAAAAATACACACAAACTCAATTCATGTATATACATGCTATTTATCATTTCCTTAATATTTATTAAAACATTTTTTTTTATAAATTTTATATCACTGCCAAATGCTGGTTATAAAGTAGGCCTCGTCAAAATATTACAGTGACACGTTTTTCAACGCGCACAATTCATGTGGGGGAAGTGAACTGATACAGAACTAGTCGCACACTAACACAGTACTTGAAGTCAAGGAAAACGATAAATCTTCGAACCATCACCATGGCGACGGCCCTCCATCTCCTATACTTGACTTCAATGTTACGGGTATTTTAATGGGAGCCTTTGTCACATATTACCAGTCTTTTTATTCCCCTTTTCCCCCTCACAAGCCGCAAAAGTTCCTTTTCTGTTCCTATTTTTATGTACAAGTGATCTCAATTAAGGACCTCCATGAAGGCTAGAGGCGGCAGACAGTCATGCCATTTATGAGTGATCCATTGGATCATTAGATTGACCAATTTGTTCAAAACACTGATTCATTCAGGAATCACTGATTCATTCACACAACTAGTGAGCATCTTTATGAGTGAGCCGTTGAATCATTCAGTCAATCGATTAATTTAAACTACTGATTCATTCAGTATCAAAACTATAGACCATCTTTATGAGTAAGCCACTGAATTATTCGATCAACTGCTTCATTCAAAACACTGATTTATTCAGAAAGAAAACTACTGATAGTCTTTATGAGTAAGCCATTAAATCATTCAGTGTTTTGAATTAATCTATTCAATGATTTGATGACTCATAAAGTGACAGACTATGTAAAAACTATGAAAAAGGCAGAGAGAATCAAAAACATTTTTAAAAAATCCTCTAGACCAGTAAGCTTAGGGCCAGATGTACTTACAGGCGTTAACAAACTTATTTACAAACTTTTGGCGTTGAAATAGTACTGTCAGGATTTACTAAAGACGTGCAGTGAAGAATTAGCACTGAAAAGGCTGTATTTTTGTGCCTGATCTTATTGAATATGCATTTGTAGGAGTTTATGGGAGGAGAGAATTAAAATGAAGTTTTACTAATGTTTGCGCTCGTCAAATTACTGGTATTTGCGCCATTATTTAACGCCCAAAAAGCATGTCTTAAAGCAGGCGGTAATTTGCGTTGCTCTTGGTAGATTGCGCTGGTCATTATGAAAATGATCTGGCTGCCTGTGTTCTTTAATGTGCGCATTGTTAGTAAATCACCCGCAGAATTTTCCCCTCCCTTCGGCGCTTTTATGGAATTGCGCTCTAATGCTAATTGGCCCTAAATATCTTAATTTTTTAAAAATATAAATCTTTCATAAATCTGTATTTTGTGATGTTAAATGTATCAATGATAGTAAGTATGTTTTTGTCGATATGTTCGTAACATGATTGGACAGCTTACTTTTGCTATGGTTACCATAGGTTTGCAAGCAGCAGGTAAAAATACACACAAACTCAATTCATGTATATACATGCTATTTATCATTTCCTTAATATTTATTAAAACATTTTTTTTTATAAATTTTATATCACTGCCAAATGCTGGTTATAAAGTAGGCCTCGTCAAAATATTACAGTGACACGTTTTTCAACGCGCACAATTCATGTGGGGGAAGTGAACTGATACAGAACTAGTCGCACACTAACACAGTACTTGAAGTCAAGGAAAACGATAAATCTTCGAACCATCACCATGGCGACGGCCCTCCATCTCCTATACTTGACTTCAATGTTACGGGTATTTTAATGGGAGCCTTTGTCACATATTACCAGTCTTTTTATTCCCCTTTTCCCCCTCACAAGCCGCAAAAGTTCCTTTTCTGTTCCTATTTTTATGTACAAGTGATCTCAATTAAGGACCTCCATGAAGGCTAGAGGCGGCAGACAGTCATGCCAATGAGAGCAAAAAGGAAATTGTCTTTGTAGCCTGCCACCCCCCCCCCCCCCCAAAACCAGCCCCCACATCTCCATCACCACCACCACCACAGGCCCCACACTCCACTTTCCATAACGAACGCAGAGCGCTTCCAAAAAACCATCGTGTTCTTGAAATTTGCGACTATAACATGGGTCCAATTTGCTCTCTGAGCCAGTTCTTGTGCCTCTCTGGCAACCCAAAGTCCTGAAGGTCTCATCTACAGTGATGATGTCACTAACCAGTCAATGACAAAATGGCAATTATGGGCTCAGATTAAATCTGGGGGTTGAAAGGATGTTGAGAAGGTCTTCCTTATGAGGTAAGGCTATGAATTCTGCATACGAATCATCACTATCCTGCTCGCTCGCGCGCATGTTCTCCTGAACCGTGCCAAGGATGGAAAGTAACTATTTAAAATTGGAAGCCTCCGTGTTCTTTCACATTTTTACTTCTCTGTTCTTCAAGAACATGTTTAATGCATATGCTTTTCCCTACTACTGAAATATTGAGATATATGTTAAAGCCAAAGTTGGTCCTAAGTCAAACATTTGGCAAAATTTTGATTGACTGTTGTCACTGATGAAACAAGTCTCTTGCACAGTTCTGCCAAGAATAATTAGACGTTCTTCAAGAACATGTTTAATGCATATGCTTTTCCCTACTACTGAAATATTGAGATATATGTTAAAGCCGAAGTTGGTCCTAAGTCAAACATTTGGCAAAATTTTGATTGACTGTTGTCACTGATGAAACAAGTCTCTTGCACAGTTCTGCCAAGAATAATTAGACACTTTGTTTATATCCTATTTGGTTTATTGGCTGTGTCTGTGCTCCCATCAAAATTATGGACCTATTATTCGGATCATTTTTTTAAAATGTGTGAAACATATTGCAACACTTATGACTTTGGGTTAATCACTATCCGTGAGCCTGTTGAGTCAGAGGGAGAGATTGCCATCTACAGTATCACTGAGAGATGGAGAGTTAGCGTTATTAAATAACATGTGCTTCAGTTGCACTGCCAGAACATTGAAGGCAGTGTATGGATACTCTGTTCAGAGAGTCAAAAGAAACTTTGCTCGAAGGGTATTAAAACGACAGCCTGTTTAGTCTGTGCTTTATGGGGTAGAGGTGTGCGTAGAAAGTGTATGATTCTGAAAATATTCTGTCATTATGACTCACACTTTCTCAGACAGCGATATGAGCAGTTTTCAGTTAAACTCCACTTAAGTTTCTTCAAATGAAAGTCATTCTGTATAAGAGAGTATTTTTTATAAATTGTTGGGAAAGTTTGACATGTATTTTCACTGTAATAAATCTAATAGATAAATCTAATAAATCTAAATATTTGTTGGCTAAAACATTTTTTTAAATATTTTTAAATATTGCTGTAAAAAATCATATAATATTAATGTGACACCTTCTTGTTCTATAATAGTGAAATGTTCAAGAGCTTTTTTGTAGTCAACACTTTAAGGTAATTGCCTGTACAGAAATGGATGTAGAAATATTAAAATGTGTATTTTAGCATACAGGTAAATAGCTATAATCTGAATTTGAAAATTTCCAATTGCCCTTTTTTTAATCTGAAAACACACACACACACACAATATCGTATATATTCACGTTGTAATTACTGTGTGGTTTAATATCTGCGCATGCATATTCCATTGCCATTGTGCATAGAGAAAAGTGCCTAGACTAATTTAATAATGTCCTTTCTGTGACCGATTTCAAGGAAAACATAAAAATGATATATTTCCTCTTAATGCAGTAATTGAATCTATTCAGGACCACAAGAGGCAATTTATCCTGTTTCCATTCAGATATTAAAAGTGATAACAGCCATGCAGTTTTAAACGTTCACACGCAAAGTTAAAGACTAAAGATGTAAATGCTCACCTACTGTAACTGCAGAATGACTTCAGTTGAAATGTTATGATGTGATCGGGACATCACGTGTTTGAGGGGCATCAGTGTAATGATTGTATGATGCTGGAACTATATGAACCACAAAAAAGAGAAATCCCTGTCTTCAAACACCCAACCACATTGGAAGCAACAAACGTTTCGCCTCATGCGATCTTTTCATCCTTTAAAGCTTAATTTGACCCCGCGCTCTCCAGGGAGCGCGATTACGGAAAACTTCACTGAACCTGCACACCAGAGACAAAATATCACCTTATATTTATTATTAGCATAACATATTGTTTATATCTTTTCGGAGAGCTGACCGAACCGTACCAAATCTCCCTTTGGCGGTGAATTAAGCGCCTTTTAATACAGGAGACGTAGTTAATGACGACTGCGCGCAAAGCGCCAATTGAAGTCTGCTTGAGTGTGTAACCCGCAGCACTTCCCAAACTCATCAGACTGCAGCGCTGAGCGCGCGGAGAGGGACTGACGGCGCTCCGTATACGCAAACAGAGGACATACGCTAGTCTTTGGCTAATTTCGCTCCCTGTCTTCAAACACCCAACCACATTGGAAGCAACAAACGTTTCGCCTCATGCGATCTTTTCATCCTTTAAAGCTTAATTTGACCCCGCGCTCTCCAGGGAGCGCGATTACGGAAAACTTCACTGAACCTGCACACCAGAGACAAAATATCACCTTATATTTATTATTAGCATAACATATTGTTTATATCTTTTCGGAGAGCTGACCGAACCGTACCAAATCTCCCTTTGGCGGTGAATTAAGCGCCTTTTAATACAGGAGACGTAGTTAATGACGACTGCGCGCAAAGCGCCAATTGAAGTCTGCTTGAGTGTGTAACCCGCAGCACTTCCCAAACTCATCAGACTGCAGCGCTGAGCGCGCGGAGAGGGACTGACGGCGCTCCGTACACGCAAACAGAGGACATACGCTAGTCTTTGGCTAATTTCGCCTGTTGTGATGCGCATTCCTGTAGATCCCAGCGCCGGCCGGAGGTTCAGTCCGCCGGTGTCGGTGAAGATGAATGATGTGAACCCGAGCGCAGGACAGCAGCAGCAGCAGCAGCAGCAGGACAGCGCGGTGGTGCCAATACTCCGCGCGCAAGAGAACCGCTCCATGGCCGAGATCATCGCCGACCACCCCGCCGAACTGGTCCGGACCGACAGTCCGAACTTTCTCTGCTCGGTTTTGCCTTCTCATTGGAGGTGTAATAAAACGCTACCGGTTGCGTTTAAGGTGAGAGCTTGTTTTTCAAATGGCATTTTGGAAAATGCGTTAGTCTTTATGAATAGTCATTTATTAAAGTAACATGTGTAACATGGACACTACAACGGAAAGTGTTAAAACGATTGTTGTGTGTTAGTTTTTATATGCAACTTTATCCAGTGAAAAATATGACGCTTGTGCAGGTCAAATTGTCTAAGCCGTTTTAACACATTGCTGACAAATATTGAAGTGCAATATAATATTCTAAACATATTTAAACAACATTAATGATAATATATCATTTAGCAAAAGTTTTGCTTACATTTTGTTAAGTGTAATATGTTCTGGGGAGTTAGATTGAATATTTTTATTGCCATTATTATTATTTAAAGTCAAATATCTATCCATAGCGACCCATCAGTTTTAAATTATGCAGAAAGTACCCCCATATAATTTCATGAATTTCAGTCTAGTTTGTGTTGTACAAATTTGTCACGGATAGTTGGTGTGTCAGTGGACTGAATTGAGCCTTTGTACTATTTATACTCTTATAAGAGTGTGTGAACAGATTTTTTTTCTTAATAGCACTAGACTTTACTGGAACAAAGTTTCATTTAAAAAGAAATAATGAAATTGCTCTGGCATTATTCACTGTTTGATGTGTAATTCTGGCCTGCGGCAGAATCTTGTGTTTATGGTCAGACCTGTGCAGGTGTGGTTAGCTGTTAGGTAATTTGCCAGATTAGTAGCTAGATTAGTAATGATGAAATAGAATTGCAAGATCTTATGCAAACACATCGCCTTAGGTGCAATATGCATGTGACTGATGTATAGAATGTAGTAATAAATCTGATGTAACCTACTTTTTTAAAGCTTATTAATGTTTAATAAGGATAATGATAGATAGACATGTACACCGAGTAAACATGCACGAAAAATCTAAATATAGATTTATTAAATAAATGTATAATTTTCATTATTTTTCTAGACACTCACACTAGCACCTTTTAGACTGCTTCAATACATTTTGCATTTAAAAGTTTAATAAATTGTTTTTTAAGAAAAATTATAATTTTAATAATAGTAACATATAATATTATTAATGATTATAATTCATTCATATATTTCTTTCCACATTAAATCTGCATAAATATGCACGTTTATGCAGTTATTGGCATAAATCTTGCTAATAATAATCAGAACTCACAAGAACTGTCTGAAGAAGCTGCTGTCTTGCATATGCGCATATGCGCACATGCACAGTGTAAAACATTGCATCATTGTTCTCTCCGCAGGTGGTGGCCCTGGGAGAGGTTTCTGATGGGACGGTGGTCACAGTAATGGCTGGGAATGATGAGAATTATTCAGCTGAGCTCAGGAATGCCTCAGGTGTTATGAAGAACCAGGTTGCCCGCTTCAACGACCTGCGCTTTGTGGGCCGAAGCGGAAGAGGCGAGTCCATATTTTGTCAGTTTCCTGATTGTTGAACCTTTTAAATCCCTTAACATGCAGGTTACAATGGGAAATGTGCTCATATCCAGAAAATGAAACGTTCATTGCATGTTTACACTTGGCTGTGAAATCCAATCAAACATTTGGCCACACCCTTTTTAATATTACTGCTTTCATTTTATAATATTAGCAGCTACCAAACTATGAAATAACCAAAAATGAAAATATGGGTATCATGCATGTTAAACATATCATCCTGGGATGCTTTTTAAACCATATTGAAGAAGTTCTCATGGATGCTGGACACTAGTTGATGCTTTTCTAGTCTAAATTTATTTAATGATTTTTTTTAATTAAAATGCGTAATTAGGTATAATTCCGAATAATTGGGCCATTTTTTCCCAGTCATCCTCAATGGCAAAATGTGTCCCAATTTAATTGAATATGGTACACAAATGATATGTAGAATTAATTAATATTTACCTACAAAAGGATTTTAAAATATTTAAGCATAGGAACATCATTTACATACTTTAAAAAAAAAATCCTGTAAAACAATTTCATTCAAGCATGCCCACATTTTTGACTGCTAGTGCAACTAACAATACACTTCATGCCAGTTTCTGTGTGTTTACACAGGCTTACCCTATTACAGACTTTATCATCACACCATGCGTTTTTCTATTAAGTTTAATCATTTTGTGTTTATCTACACTTGCACAATGTCATGTGGAGAAATCCTCCAGGGAGATTTGGTAGCAGAGGCACGCGGTCACACAGGGACACATGACATTCTTAGAATAATTATAGTCAGTCTGTGTGCTGAGCTATCAGTTACGAGCCAACACCGTTGTGAAACCACATCACCACATTGCCGGTAAGAATGCACTCATTAAATTACAGGTCTCTGTGCGTTCTGTACTAAGGTTTCTCAAAACCATTGACGGAAACTTAGCTGTCTGCATAACAGTCTTTAGTGTGTTATATAATTTAGCATATTGTTCAGATTATTATTCTTTTTTTAATCTTGAAGTGTTAAATGTTGTGCCTTTAGAATCACTGCACAAAATTGTAAAAGTAATGATGCTTCTTGAACACTTTACCTGTCTGCAATTGGTCAATCAAACAGATGGCCACACCTCCAAACTCACACCATTGGTTGAGCCAAATTGAGAGTCACAGGCTGCATTCGAAATCGGATACTTCCTTACTATTTTGTAGGCAAAAAACAGTATCTAAAGAAATAGTAGGGGTGTAAATCGGATGGTTCGTCATGATACGATATTGATTCTCATACCCAGCGATACGATATTTGCCGATACCTCAAAAAATTCTACGATACGATTACGATTCGATACAGGAATATATCGATCGATATATCGATATTATGATATTATATATCTATTTTTAACAACCATCTACATTTTTATTAACTCACAAATGCAACCAAAATATATAACATGAACATTTATCTGAACTTTTCACATCCTGTACCTCAATTGGCACATTCACAACAAAAAAAATAGGACTAAACATTTTTGTTTAAATAATAAAGAAAATAAACAATTGGAAAAACAATTCTGGCTGCTATGGGCTCAGTGCTAAAAATCTTTTCTACAGATAACCAAATTATAAGCAATAGTAGAAAATAAATACAATACAACAAAGACACAAGTTCAATAAACAGTGCTTTTCAGGTTTTTCAGCTCAGTCTAAAAGAAATTTTCAGGTACGCTACAGAAATGTAATAATCAAATGTAAAATAACTGCATAATCTTCACTGTATAAATTAAATACAAATTAATCTTTTTTTTTATGTTACAATGTTATTTAGTCAGGAGCAGTGAGCACTTGTATTTTTCTTTGACAGCATTAGATTTATTATTAGTTTGCTTTTACTTTAAGAACGAATCACAGATTTAATATACTGATACACATGCCTTTTCTTTCTCAACTGTTTACGTTAAGACATGCCTAACCGACTGTGTTTACAGGATATTCGGCAAAACGCACATTTTGATGTAATTTTGTCTATTTATTCATCCATCCACAAAAAAAGTGGAAGAGAGCTCAATTTGGTATCCGCACGGTGTATACGCAGAAAACTTCTCACACAGCGCTCGACTGTTCCGCAAACAATCCCAAGCATCTTTTATGCGCACCTTGTGCCTTCGGGCAGTCCTTATATCGAGTCCTGATACGTGAGTTTGAACGAGAAAGCACATGTTGGCGGTAATGCATAGACGGACATTATATGAAAATGTGGACAGTGCCAAAATAAAGGTGCCTATTTATACTACAAATATCGATATTTTACGTGTGCCATCGATGCATCGTATCATCAGACATCGTATCGATGTATCGATCCATATCGATGAATCGTTACACCCCTAGAAAATAGTATCTCTGAATTCACAGTATTCATTAGGGATGTGCGAGACTAGTCGACTTGTCGACTAAATGCAACTGGTGCTGTTAGCTGACATTGGAAATACTAGTCGGCTAGTTAAAATGTATACGTTTTTAAAAAAAATAAGACATCTGGATCGGAAAACAAATTTATTTCATTTCACCTCAGACATTGCATTCATGCGTTGTCTTCGTGTCACTCGCCACAGACTCAGAGTAATATCCGCTAGGAAGAAGAGCAAGGTGTGGGAGTGTATTTACCATTTTAAAGGGGGAAACATTATGAATGAAGGGGAACTGACTTTCTTAAGAAATGTTTCGCTGACATTTTTTCATGTTATAGTAAAATCCCTAATAAAATAGTGTTTATTTGCGTAGCGCTGGGGTAATATGGTAACAGCTGTATTTTTGCTTGTCCAAAAGCGCCACCTACTGTTAGAGAGTGAATTTGTGTTTTCATTCATCCCGTCTGCTGCTTTTGTTCTGTAAATTATAACGGTTTGATGAAAAATAAGAACAATTCAGATAATAAGGTATCTGCACTTGTTTGACTGTTTGATTCATTGTTCAAGTATTTCAAATGAATCACATATACACACAAAGTTCTTGACTGTCTTCTGAAGGTTTCTTACTTTTAGACCAGTCGACTAGTCAGTTACAAAATATCTGTTTAAACCTCAATGAAATTAGTTGTAGCGCACATCCATAGTATTCATAAAACCGTAGCAAAAAGTACCCAGGTGACTTAGTACTTCCGACGAGATTCTGAAGTGCGCATCTAATGTAAAAATATTACTTTGAAAAAAATTTCACACACGCATATATATTTTAATTACTTTAATTAATTACTTATTCAAAAAAAGTACCAACTCACAGGGTATGTGATATTGGATGCAGCCGGATGCATATTGTTGTCTCTGCATGGGGAAAAATATTTTAACATATAAAGATTTACACACTTCCCCTTTACATTTAGTTTAAAAATGCTGTTTAAAGCTTGTGCACTCCATAAAAAGATGAAATAGCAATGGGAATTTTTTGGTTCGTTGATTCGTAAAGCTTCATGAGTTTTGACACTTGAGGTTTCTTTGATTTTCAGAAGATTCCAGGTCACAATGACATGTTATATATATTATATTTCCAATATGTGCAAATTATTTTTACATTATGAGAGCCATTTGGTCGTATTTAATTCTATTTTATGATCCCGAGTCTTTTGCTCCAAAGCAAGCTGAAAAGCTGCTGAATAATACTGAATACAGCTTATATAGGAATGCCGCGATCGGTGTCGTATTCCTATAGGTAGATGTGATCAGCTGAGAATCAGCTGATGCAAGCTTGACTCACGTGACCTGCCAGAACTAACGCTAAAGCTTAATTTATTGTAGTACTTACAGTTTAATTTAAATAAAATGAGAATTGATGCCTTGGCAGCTAGTGTAAATAAATAAGTTTGAGGTTTTTTTATTTCAGTTAATGTTTATTTTAAAGGGGTCATATGATGAGATTTCAGTTTTTCCTTTCTCTTTGGAGTGTTACAAGTTCTTGGTGCATAAAGAAGATCTGTAAAGTTGCAAAGACTAAAGTCTCAAATCCAAAAAGATATTCTTTATAAAAGTTAAGAGTCAACCACTCCTACCTAAAAGGGCTCGTTCTAACACGCCCACACATGTCTACGTCACTATGTGGGAAGATTTGCATAACGCCGCCCAAATGTTCACGCAAAGAAAGAAGGTGTACCTTTAATTCTTGCTGTTTCCGCCGCTGCCATGTTGTGGAGTCGTTGTGAAAGCGAAACTACTTTGTTTGGCCTTCCAAAAGAGGACACAACTAGAAAAAAGAGGACACAACTAGAAATATTCAGATGTGTGCTGTGCATTTTATGGAGGATGAGGACTCCTGAACCAGTAGCCTACAATGCTTCTGTGGCACAAAGGCTGTTTCTATAAAGTTGGGCAGTTCCAACTTTGCAAGGACAGTCTGGCGCTTCTGACTCACAGCCTGTAAGTAAGTTTTTTATATTTAAATAATGCGCGACTGATGATTCAGACACGAGTTTTGAGCAGTGTAGAGTAGGCTTGTTGTTTGTCATTTGTCCGATCACAAATGCAGATATGGTTTTATGTTTATGCAGCGCGATACGCAATGCAACGCGTAAAAAGACAGTATAAGTCATTATAATCAGTAATTATGTCCCCACTGGATGCAACAAATGCCTCATTTGTAATGGGTTTTATTGGTTTTGTCTCGTCCTGCTGGGAGACGGCATCACAGTATGTTAAGGGGCGTAACATTTCCGTCACACGCTTGAGATATTCGGCCAATCCCAACGCACTGGATAGCTGGCCTATCACAGCACACCTCGCTTTTTCAGAACGATGAGTTTCAGAAAGGTGGGGCAGAGAAGAGAAACAATAATGTACATTATATGGAAAATAATGTGTTTTTTGAACATTAAACCGCATAAACACATTGCATTACACCAAATAATGTTCTTTTTAGCAACGTCATATGACCCCTTTAATTAACCATAGAATAACTTTATGAATACCTACTACATTTACCAGACAAGTAAATACTGTGTGAAATATTGTGTCCCATAATGC